AAAAAACAAAGAAAAGAAAGTTTCCATGTAAAGGAACATCAGGTATGGAATGACTGGTTTTAGTGCAATATCTCTATGGTTATCTAGAAGTATCAAGATGTTTCTATTTTGAACAGCGTAACTATTTGAGCTCCTATTTTTATAATTCTGATTGAGAATTTAAGGGCATGGTAATTTTTTTTACCAAAACTGGACATGACAATTTTAAGGAAAGCAACTGAATTTGGGCTGTTTATCTATTAGCTGAAAAGAAACCAGGGCACCTAGAAACCTCTCGGTCCACTGGAAATGTGAGAAGAGCTTTTCATTCAAAGTGTGTAGTTTACGGACTGAATTTTTTAAGAATTGTTCCCCCCAATTTGGGTCTGTGCTAGCCTCTTGATTTTTATGTGTAGCTTAAAAAGAATTTGAAAATGCTGTGTCTTGTGTTTTGCTATTTCCTGTCTTGTGACAGTTCTCTGCTAAATGTATTTTAAAATAAAAGCCAAATTCAAAATTGAAAAAATAAAATAAAATAAAATAAAATACAGCCAAAAAGTAAATGTGCAAAATAAAAATATGACACAATTCAAGAATAAACATATATAAATATACTTGACTGATCTCAGGTTGCCAAATAAGTATGAGAAATCACAAAGAAACAACTAGAGATTTAATCTCAAAAAGTGAAATGATTTCCTACTAAAAGTATTAATAAAGGTAAATAACCAATGACAATTTGGAAAAAAAAAGATTTTCAACAAAAATGAGGGCTTGTCCTTTATATATATTTGTACTTTGTGCAGGGTCTCACTACACAGCTCAGACTGGTAGTGATCCTCCTGTTTTCAGCCTCCCAACACTGGGATTACAGGTGCGCGTCACCACACCCTATGTCAATTACTGGCTCAGCATGCCTGGGGGCAGGCCCTATGCAGCGTGTGGTACCAGGGATCAAACCTCAGCCCTTGCACTTGCCTAAGCAGGTGTTTAGTCCGCTGAGCTATCTCACTGGCCCTCTTAGTATAATTTTTACTAGTACTTTTAAATAGTGCAAGATGAAAAATAAATACCCAAATAGGAAAAGGGAGTAAAATACATAAACAAGCACTTTCTATTTTAAAAAAGTGGCCAATAAATACTTAAAGGAGCAGACCAGTTGTTAATTTTCAAGTGTTAATTAAGACATCAAGAAACTATTTTCACTTATCAGCTGTCCAAGTGCAATGCACGGCAGAGCCCAGGCTGGTAAGAAGAACACGACAGCTTCCCACCAGTGAGGGAGCCCCAAGGCTGCTGAAAGCCCTGGGCTGAGGGAACGTGCTTCCACCATTCTGCTTTCTGCTGTGCAGGACCACCTGAGCAGCTCTCCTTGAAAGAAGGGCAGTCGTCTCCATTTTGGCTGAGCCTGACCCTATTTCCTTGTATTGATGTGTACAGAGCTGGCTAGGACTTCTCTTCATCGTTTCAGTTGGCCTTAAGCAGTGCATATTGGTCTAGCTGAGTGCTAGAGGTAGTCTCAGAAGATGGCATGCATGTTTCCATAGTAACCCACACCTGCTGCTCTTGAATAAGAGCCAGGTTGAGACAGGATGAAGAGGCAGTGCTCCACGCTGTCAGCTGGGATTAGCCTTGAGATAGAGGCTATAACTTCCTGGGGCTTGAAAGATTACACATCAGAGCTGAAGCATTGGACCCCAAAACACTAGATACTATCTCAATAGTACAATGCAAATCACTTTTCCTGAATATCCTCCTCTGCACATGACAGAGGTAAACGCAGGCCTCCGACCTAGCCCAGCTCACAGTGCTCACCTACTTCCCGCCATTCTCAGTCTTTCATCCTGAAGCCACTCCTCCTTCATGACTGAATAAAACCTGGGTTCAGCCCTGGGTCGAGGCCTTTGTTCCAGATAGCCATCACCATGGCTGGACTTAGGGCCCCCTGGCTCCCCATAACCATAAATATGCCTTAGTGTCTTTATTCTCACTGTGGGTTGCACTGGAAGTGGTAAATTGGAATTAACTTGGTGGGATTCCAATAATTTATCTTCGGGACTAAAAATATAAACTTCTTGGACAGATATGAGGGCCAGGAGATGCCCCTGACCCTTTGTGCCCAACATGGTCCCTACACTCTGGTTATTCACTACTGCGCCCTTAGTAATTTACTCCTAAAATTCCATTCTAAGTGATTTATGGCTGCACTACTTTGTTTTCCCATAATTTTATTGAGAAACAAATAGCAATGAGACAGTTTCAAACCAAATTGGTAGGACAGTTTCAATAATTAACACATTGCATACAT